AAAAAAAATTTCAATTTTTCCATAGTTTTTTAATTATTTCAATTTATCTAAATTTTTTCCGATAAATTGATTCTGATTTTCGAATTCTGTTTTCCTTCTTAAGTAATCAGTTTTGCATTTTCTAATTTTAAACGTTTTAAAGTATTGTATTTTCTGCAAAGAGATTACAAGGTTAACCGACAAAAAGAATTTAGTGTTATATAAACAATGATGTTTATATAACAATCACCACCAACAATTGCTTTCAATATGTCAGTCTAAATACTTTGGCATGCGGCCCTTCATTGGTCAATCTGCTGTGCATGTGGCCCTTCACTGAAAAAGGTTGTGCACCCCTACTTTATGCATTTTTATTTATGAACATTTGTTGGATATAAAAAATATTTTATCTCCATTGGAATTGCATAATACAAATTTAATTCATTATAAAACACTAAGACATTAAAAACACAGATATAAAAACTCGCAGCAGTTATTTTGATTTTAATCATAAGTCCTTAAAGAGTAGATAATTAATATGTAATAAAATTTAATAGTTTTTTTTTAATGAACTGAACTGCAAATTTTACTTTTTTGTGTAATTTTTAGGTGTAGGAACAAGATATTCTTAAAATGTTTTTTTTTTTTTTGCCTAGATATTTTTAGTACTATATTCTAAATTTTTTTCAGTTAAAAGATGAAAAGCAATATCTCTGATAAATTTTATAATTTAAATATAACTAATAAATGAAACTAATTTAATGTAATTTTTATAAATAAATAATCTTTGTAAAATATTAATAAAGCTCATTTGTAGAAAAGAGGAATTTATATTAATTTATTTAAGTACTAGTAGTAAATATTTCTTAGCTTCTCATATTCCAGCTACAAATAATTTTCTACAAATATTTCTCAGCATTAATACTTGAAATTTTGTTACTCTTAATTTCAAAGCTATGCAAATCTAATTTTCAAAAAAGAATACTGAGAAGATTCTTCTACTTCCAAACAAAAAATGTAAATAAATTTAAATTATCATTTGTAATAGTATAACTCTATAAAATAACAAAAAGTATGCGTAGAATAAACATTCTCAAAATTATTTCAATGATCTAACCTACCTGGAATAAAATGTACCCATGTTCTGGGTTTCAAAAAAGTATTGAATCCTTATCATGTAAATCTATATGTATGCTAGCAATTATAAAATTAAAGACATAACTTTAAAAAACAATTGCAAATTTACTGCTGCATTTTTATAAAAATACAGCAGTAAATTTTAGAAAGCAAAGTAGTAAAGTTCAAAAAAAAAAAATACTTCGAAATGCTTAAATACAATTTATTAAAAAAGAAATGGCACTTTAATGTGAGTCATGTGATTCTTTCGAAGGATTTGTAACACTAGTGGTCTAATATGTTAGTGGTAAAAAAAAATTATTTAATACCACAATTATAATTCAGATGAATGAAATATGAGAATGAACGAAATATTGAATGGAATATTGTGAAGAATGAAATATTTTAAATTCTAAATGAATTCTTGGTTTACACACAGGGAACTGTGCAGGTCAAATTTAATACTGTTTAGCAGTACCTTCAAAAATTCAACTTTAGGAAAATGATAGTTTCACAAAATAAATTTTCTTTAAAAAAAAATTTATGCCATAAAAAACGATAAATCCATATTTTTCTGTTGATTTTTCAATTTTCACAAATTAAGTCTAAATTTTCATAAAATAGGTACCTCTCAGAAAAACCTAGACAGACACCTGATACATATGCTGAAAATGAATAAAGATTTTCATTGCTATAAATAATATCTAGAATTTTTAGAAGAGAAATATAATTTTTAATTCTTGAATTTGGTCTTTATATTTTGAATGGAAAAGTTTGATGAACAATAATTATAGAATTTTTTATAAATGCATATTTTTTTCATAATTTATTCAATAAATTGTTATTGAAAAAAAAATTTTTTTTTTTAAACTTTGCTACTTTCTTCTCATTGTCATTTTTATATAAATAATTTAATTTAAACAATCGAAATATTAAACTAATTGTTGATTATTGATTGAATATAAATGTAATTATTACTGGTTAAAAAAAATTCATAGCTCTCAGAGCCCTTGCGTTACAAATTACTGTTATGCAAGTTATATATTGTTTTTATAATAATGCTGAGTTAGAAGTTGAAAGAAATATATTGACCATTTGATGGGAGCAAGTTGAGCTCTTTTAAAATTCAGGCATTTAATGGATCTGATAAATTTATAACATGCCCTTCTTCTACAAACTACAAGTTGCTTTAGTGATGACATTTGCTTTTAAAAGTTGAAGTTAAAATGAAAAGTGAAGTGCTAAGGATGAGAAAAGTGAAAAAAATTATACTTATTGTTGAATTTTAACTAAACTTCATACATTCTTAAAAATATGGGTTTTAAAAATAAGCTTAAAGTTTAAAAGGACATGGAATGCCTTCATAATTTTTAATTGAAGTTAAATATTGAACTTTGAATTTCTTTTAGTGAATGGTGTAGTTAAGTAGGAAATGCTAAAAATTTTTATATATCTCATAATTGACTTGCTCAGTATAATATTCCTTACTTCAGAACATTCAACCATTATTTGTAAAGGAACCATATTATTTAATATAATTACACACAAAATAATAGAAATTATATTGATCTCCCACTCTAACTCTTTTGAATTTTTTCTTACAAACCTAAAAAAAAAAAATTTATCTTTCATAGGTTCAAAAAAATTATTGAACAAATTCTAAAAAGGAAAACAAATCTTAATCTGGTTATTTATTCCATAACATCTGAAAGCAACAGACTTCTTACAACAGAGTTTCAGTTGAACTAAGTTTCACTCACAAACATTTTAAACTAAAAAATATAACATAAACATCTGAATAATTTAAGAATTAAAATAAATATCATTTGGATATTTTAAAATAGACTTTTACTAAGAGATAAAAATAAACAAAATTTATTAAAGGTAAAGTAAGAAACTTTTCAATATTAATACCTCTTTTTTAATTTATCTAGGAATCAGACTCCAATTTGCAGGCAAGAAAATTACCATCAGTTACTTGAAGTCAAAAGCTAAAATGAAATTTAAAAAAATAGAAATAGGCAATTTTCCCCTAATTACAAAACAAATAAAATTTAATTAAAATATTAATTCAGGGTCACAAAATAGAGAAAACATAATTTTAAAAGATAAATAATTAAATACAATCAATTAGGAGAAAAGTCAACAAAATATTTATTTTTGTACAAAACAAGATTGAAATGTTTTTATGGTATCTGTGATCATGCTAAAGAAAAAAAATTCTAATGTCAACGTAACTTAAGTTCAGCTTCCCGATATTACATTATATTAAATGACATTTGAAAAGCTTTATTATGGAGCAGATATAGATATAAAAGATCATTAAACTGGACATGCTAATCAGGAAGTTTAAGACATCTGACATCCGCAATAACAAAAGCTAATAAAAAAAATCCCACCCACACATATTACTAGCACGGATTGTTCTTTAACAAACTACATAACTATTTTATGATCACTAAACTAATATAAAAAATTTTCTTTATGACAGTAATTTCGCTAAAATAGCATTAATTACAGTAAATTATCCATATTATCATAACACAGTTAGTTTAAAGTCGCATTTGCACGGTTTAATATACTAGTAAGAAAAGAAAAAAAATTTGAAATTGACACTTAGTACATACAAAATGTAATTTTTATAATAATAATTCATCGAAATTCACAACACTTTATTTCTAACAGAGATATAAAGCAAAATTCAATGCTTTTGAACAAGATTGCTTAGAAAAAAAAACAACCGACAGACACTTTGCATTCTGTTGCCAATTGCATAATTTTCAAGTGAAAACACTGCTGGCTGTCAAGCTAATTTTTATATGCTATGTTCATACTGCCCTACGGTGACGGGCCATTTTTATTGATGCGGAATGACTGAGATTTCATTCCAGCTGCCGACTCACAGTTCCGTATCTGATGAAACAGATTTCTCATGCATAACATCAAAACGGCGATTTGCACAATTTTTATCGCTATCGGAGAAAAACCTTAAAATTTCCTGTTCTCGTCAGCGAACTGAGCTGCATAAATCATTCAGGTCCTATACGGATCATTCAGATTGAATAAAAAACAAAATGTGGAAACAAATAATGATGCCTGAATACTAAAGCATTTCTTTATTAAAAAATTTTCTATCAGAAAGTGTTTTGAAGGATTAAGAAAGCATAAAAAGTACACCCTAAAAAGTTTAAGAGCAAACAGGGCCACTCTCACTAAATGCGAAAAAAATCGCATTTGCGAATTTGGAGATAAACAAATTTCTGATTGGCGCGTTTTTCATAGAGGGTATTTTTTTTCATATTTCACCAATCAGGTTCGAATTCGCATCTACGAATTCATATGCGCGAATTTTTCGCATCCACTGTGAACCAATCCGGCCGACTGCTCGGTAGCCAAATCTTTCACGCCTAGTCAAAGTCAGTGGATGTGGTACAGCAGGGCTCGAAAAACCACCCGTCCGCCCGTCCTCGGCTGTCAAAAATTCCCTGCGGACAACAAATTTCTCGAATCCGACGTCCGCGCAGACGGCCATTTTCCCATTAATATTCGTGATACATTTTAAATTTTTGTTATCTTGCAAGAGTCTAGCATCTCACTTCTAAAATGACCCTCTAATCTAGAAATACAGCAACATACTGCGCATTGATGTTTTCTCTGTCTGGGAGTACTGCAGTGGTTGAAAGAGGCTTTTCAGCAATGAGCTTACAAAAAAACACATTACGTACTCTTCTTAAACAAGAAGCGTTAAACGCAATTAGTAACATCAACCTAAATGGAAAACACCTTTCATATTTCTGTGCAGAAACCTCTTTAAATCAGTGAATTGATTGTGGAACTGGCTAACGTCATATTTGTTTCATTTAAAAAACGAAGTACCCTCGGATAAATTGACATTCCAGATAACTTGACCTTTGTCATTTAAATTATTTCATAAAAGAAATAAATTATTTCATAAAAGAAATACTAGGTTTTACTATTAGTAACCTAGTATTTGTAATCCTAGTAACTACTAATTCATTGTGCAATTTATATAAATGTTTGTAATAAATAAGAGAAAATTATATTTTTATTTATTTCGAAGCTACGGGTTAGTTTCAAAGGAGGATGGGTACATTGGTGGACAAACCGTCCTCGGGGACGGGTAAAATTTCTGACTTTCTTCGAGCCCTGTGGTACAGAATGCCTCTGAACTGAGTAAAGCTTCATCGTCTCTCAAGAGACTTTGTTGATTGTAAGGATTTCGACTTTGGCAAATATCGGTAGAGTTGACCTAAATGTGTAAATATAACAAGCGAATAAAAATCTATTTAAACCACCTGTGTAAAATTCGCAGATGCGCCGTCGGAAATTCATTTGAGAATCTAATTGTGAACCTTGTGAGAATGGCACTTAAAAGTAAACTTTTAAAGAGCCGTGCTCACTGGGAAAAAAGAAAATAAAAATTTAAATAAGAGCGGAAATATTTCACCAACCATGTTTTCAGTCGCTTGCAATTTTTCACATGAGAAAAAAACGTATCCAGTGAGAATTGTTGTTAACGACGTTGAGATGAATCTGTACAAAATTCGTAGGTGCGTACATTTTACTTCAGGTGCAGATTTTATTTGCGCACTAAATTCACGATCGCAACGCTCAAATGCGCCATCTAGGGCGAAAACCGGTTCTATGTCTTGACCCTCCCCCTTCTCTCTCCTTTCTTTCTCACTTATATGGGAATGCACTACTACAATTTTTCCCTTCATAACATTTTTCGAATTAATTCCCCGAAATATTTTTTAAAATTTCCACAACGCTTTCCTTAGAAGCTACATTCAATGCAGTTTTGAGTGTTCCATATAGTTTCGTACTGAGGGTCTTTAATTTATTTAAAAATCAAGACAAAAACTAACGAACTACTTTCCTCTATATGACTGCCCACACACTAAACGAGAGATTAAAGAGAGATCATGCTACAGGTTGAAAATGACGATTGTGACTCCCGAATAAGTCAACTAGGGGGAGATGTCTTGACCCTCTCCCTTTCCCTCTTCTCCTTTTCTCAGTTGTATAGGAATGTACTATGATATTTTCCCTCTTCTTAATATTTTTCGTATTTAATTCACGCAAATATTTCTTTTTTAAACTCTTTCTATGGCAACACTCCACATTCATCAATAGCGTGTGGAGAGTCATAGAAGAAGGAAATTCGTTAGTTTCTGTCTTTAGTTTCAAATAGATTAAGAATTTTTTTTATTTGAACCAAAAACTACGTTTGAATATGGAACCGAAAACTATGTTGAACATAGTTCTGGAAAAGCGTCGTGCAAATTTTCAAAAATATTTTTTGACAAATAAATACGAAAAATATTAAGAAAGGGGATAATATCGTATTATATTTCTATACAACTAGGAAGAAGAGGAGAGGAAAGGGGGACGGTCAAGACACATGGAATTGGCCTTTTCCACAGATGGAAGTATTCGAGTGTTTTGATCGCGGATGAGACTGCAATAAAATCAACAATGAAGTTGTTAAATAGAAGTTAAGAAATCAAAAACTAATTTGTATACAGGCATAATTTTCATTAATTTTCCGAAATCGTGCAAAGCCAGCCAATACATACCATCGCCTTCTCCGCAAAAAGTGATCTCATTTTCGCCTAATAGAGTGATGCAGCCACTTTAAAATCTATTCGCTCGTCGGGCGAACGGTAAAAATATGCGAAGTGTTACCATAGATCAGAGGTCGTCAAAGTGGTCTATATAGACCCCCAAGGGTCTATTTAACAAAAGCAGGGGTCGATCTGAGACAGGGGGGCGAATGGGGGTCGATCNCGCCACCTGTAGCCCATTTTGATCGCCCATCACGCGTATAGGCTAATCTGAATAAAAATATGGAGTTTTAGGGGCCATTCACATTCGCACATGCTGTCACAACCGAATGAACTGTCCCCAAAATTAACCATGATGGAATTGGAAGCAATGAGGCAGCGATTATTCACACAAGTGGTTCCAATTCGAATGCACATGTAGGGCAGTCGTATATTCTGCGAACAGCTCTTAAGAGACCAGCCTCATTGCAAGTGATGCACGACACCACCAACCAAGTTCTTATTCTTTCTTAGCGTCGTTAGGAGGTTCATGAATCGCATACAGTAAGAGTGTCTCTTAAGACATACAAATAAAAATTGTTTGCTCCTGCATGCATTTGTATTACATAAAGCACCGCTCACCTTGCAAGTACATTTTTGTCATGAAATGAGAATGGTCTTTAAAGGATAATATGCATGTGTGGTGTGTTTTTCACAGCATATATAAAAATGTCTATGTACAAATATCTGTATACAAATCAATATGCAAATATCTTTATACGAATATCTATTTAAGTTAAATATGAACTGTATCTGCTATTGGATATCTGCAAGCTACGTCACGTGGGAATATTGAATCTGATTGACTGCTGAATTGTGGCATATGTTTTGCTAATATGTTTATGCAACAATTTAGCAGCCAATCAGGTTTGACACTCACGTGAAATGTTACATGAAAATATCCAATTAAATCTGATCAGAAAAGTGTGTAGTAAAAAATCAAGCCTAATAGCAGTTAACCAGTTGTTTATGTATAACCTACTGATTTCAGCGGTCTTCTTCTTCTTCTCGAATTGCATGAAACCAATTACTTTTTGATGGTTACTTTGAATTTTTAAAACATCTTGCTTATTATGTTTCTCCTTTTCGGAGCGCTCAACTGAATTAAACGGCACACCTGATATGTCTACTCCGTAACTCACTATATACGTTGGGACGTTCCATCGATCGACAAACTCAAAAGCGTTGCTCGGCCTACGTCACGTATCTAAATTCGATGCTGGATATTAAATAAAAATTGACATAAATTTTTATTTTCCAGCAAGTTTTAATACTAATAATTTTTTTCATACATTTGTTGCTGATGTCGATTTGGTTTTACGCAAAATAGATGGTGTATAAAATATTGTTTGGTGTTCGATTCTATATTTTTCTTTCGTTTCTTTTGTTGACAGACTTCGTTATTTGAACTGGAACCCTATTGATGGAGGTCCAGGTTAAAATACATTTGATGGAACCCTACTGGCAGGAAATCAGAATTAGTTTAGTGTAACCCTGCTGAATCGGGTCAAGCTGAGTTTAGATAAAAGACCGACATTTTAGCTGATGTGAGCTCCTACATATTTAAGCTAGAAATATCCGGTCTAAGAACTGTCTGATATCATTTTGAAAGAAAAGACCTTCGAAGGCTTGTTCCTTCGAAACGCTTATTGTGAGGTTTTCTCTGAAAGTCCCATGCTAAAGTAGGACAAAGGGAGAATTTGTGTGCTTGGAGTACTTCATTATTTTGACCAGTGATTATATGGTAAAGTTTGGTGGACTCTGTTTCACTGACGAAGTGTTTTTTTGTCTCTACGAATTTGTTACCTCTATTAGCCATTAGAGAGGATTCGTACCTGCCATTCCATGCTACTAATAAACTACGTTTTTGTTCGTTAGATTCGCAATATGTTCCTAGTTGAGTACGTTATAACGTCACCAAAAATTAGCGCGATGCTGCAATCTTTAGGTCTATTTCAGATTATATTTCAAATTAATTTTCGATTTCAGAATTTGGAAATCGAGAATTTATTTTGAGAGAGAGAGAGATAATTGAGATTTTTTCCCTCGGACGTGGCTAATTAAATAATTTTAGAATATTTTAAAGTCTTAATATCTATTTCTTTTATAATAACAGAAATGTTATATTCTCAGCATGAATATTTACATTATAAAG